GGAGAGCCAGCCCCTCCTGCACCTGTCCGCCTCTTACCTCGAGCTCCAGCCACACGAGCCTCGTCCCCACTGCACTTTGTCTAATCTACACATGTCCACCTCAGGGCCTTTGCACATGCCATTCTTGCAGTCTGGAGTGCCATCTCCCCCATTCTTCACGTGGCTTCTCCTGCTCATTCAGCTCTCCACAGCAGGGCTTCCCCTCCCTGACCATCCACCCCACTTCATACCTCTCCTGACTAGCAAGGGAGTTCTGGTTTGGCAGGGACCCTTTCTGTTCTGTTCTCCAGAGTTCCATGAGTGAAGCCCATATCTCTTGGCCCGTCATCTGTGGCAGGCAGTGGAGCATAGCGGCTGAGGCCACACAGGCCCTGGGGCAAGACTTCCTGGGTTCTAGTCCAGGGTTTGTGGATGACTAGCCGTGCGAGTTTGTACAAATGAGTCAGCCCCTCCGTGCCCTCAGTTTCCCCCATCTGTAAATGGGGGCAGAAATGCCCAGCATCCAGCAGGGCCTGGTTCCTCGTAGGCTCAGCAAGCATAGGAAGGAAGGAAGGGATGGAGGGAGGGGCCAGGCAGGAGGACGGTCCTGCAGGCCCAGCAATCAAGATGGGTGTCAGCCGAGGGGGGCATAGGGCCTGGAGGTCCGCACCGCATCCCCAGCGGGGCCAGCGGGAGGGCGCCGGGTAGACCCTTCAGCAGCTCGCCCGCTCCCTTCCTCCCCGCAGTGGCTGAGGGACCCGGGGCCTCGGACCGAGAAGCGGACACTCTGCTGTGACATGGTGTGCTTCCTGTTCATCACGCCACTGGCCGCCATCTCGGGCTGGCTGTGCCTGCGCGGCGCCCAGGACCACCTCCGGCTCCACAGCCGGCTCGAGGCCGTGGGGCTCATCGCCCTCACCATCGCGCTCTTCACCATCTATGTCCTCTGGACGCTGGTGAGTGGCCGCCGGCTGGAGAGCAGGCAGCTGGGGGGCTCCCTGCTGGCGACCTCCCGGAGTCTCAGGGGTTCCAGATTCCGAGCCCCACCAAGGGCCAGGGAAGCCTGAGCCTGATGTGAGCCTTCTGTTCTGTGGGGACCAGGGCACCTGCTCCCCAGTGCTGAGCGTGGCCTCCACCACCCATGAGCCCACCCAGAGTCGGCCAGGCTGCGGGGAGATGCCGGGAGGGAGGAGGATGAAGCGACTGCGAGAAAAACCCCTGGGATTGAGAGAGACTGCCCTGGGGGTGTCGCTCCAGGCTCCTGGCAGGCATTAGCACCCTGCTGGGAGACCTGAGGTCCCCCAGGGTCTCACCCCTGGGGCAGAACCACTGCCTTCCAGCTGTGGGGGCGTTCCCTCTCCACGATGATTTTGCAATGCATCCACCAGCGTGTATTTTTTTAAGACAAATAGGATGAAATCATAAGGCCTGCTTTGCAGTCTGCTGCTGTTCACTTTCCTAATGTCCTTTAAAAAAACAGGCAGCCACCCAACAGCCAGTCATCGTGTGGGTGGACCATATTTATCTAGCCAATCCCTTGTGATGGACACTGGGATTCCTTCCAATGTTTTTCTTCTCTTTCCACCTTTTTTTTTTTTTTTTGCCTTTATGAACCGTGCTTTGGGCGCCAGCCGTGCAAATATTTCTTGGAACTTGCTTCGTCAGAGTATGAACCACTGACAGTTCTTTATCAATGGTCTTGTATAGACTTCATGTATTAGAGCAGTTTAAGTTTCACAGCAAAATGGGGAGCAGAAAGTGCAGAGAATTGCCACGTACCCCCTGTCCGCTCCCCACAGCCCCCCTCACAGTCACCATGGCACCAGCGTGGTCCCTTTGTTGCAGTTGATGAACCAACATGGACACGTCATTGTCGCCCAGAGTCCATAGTTGACACTGGGGTTCACTCCTGGTGTGGCACATTCTCTGGGTTTGGACAAATCTATCAGGACATGGATGCATCATCACGGTATCATAGAGAGTAGTTTCACTGCCTTAAAAATCTTCGGTGCTTCTCTTATTCATCCCTCCATCCCCTCAGCCCCTGGCAATCACCGATTTTTTTTAGTGTCTCCATCGTTCTGCCTTTTCCAGAATGTCACAGAGTTGGAATCATCCAGGATGTAGCCTTGCAGATCGGCTTCTTTCGCTCAGTCGTATGCACTTAAGGTTCCTCCGTATCTTTTCATGACTTAAGAGCTCATTTCTTTCTTTCTTTTTTTTTTGAGGAAGACTGGCCCTGAGCTAACATCCGTGCCCATCTTCTTCTACTTTATATGTGGGACGCCTACCACAGCATGGCTTGCCAAGTGGTGCCATGTCCACACCTGGGATCCGAACCGGTGAACCCCGGGCCGCCGAAGTGGAACGTGCACACTTAACCACTGCACCACTGGGCCAGCCCCTCATTTCTTTTTTGAGATGAATAGTATCCCATTGTCTGGGTGTCCCACAGTCTGTCTATCCATTTGCCTACTGAAGGACATCTTGGGTGCTTCCGTGTTTTGGCAACGATGTGACCCACTGCCATGGAACCCCTTCTAAGAGGCTGCATCACTTCATCCCCACCCTCTGAGACACAGAAGGGAGTTTTTTGCTCCGTGCTGCAGACCCCCTTAGCTTTGCGGGGCCCCGAGCGCTGGTGGGGAGCTGCCCCAGGAGAGTGAATGGGTGTGAGTGCACAGTCTGTATGAGAAAGGCTTGGATGCTTCTGGAAGCATGGGCCCGGCCCTGGTTTGGGCCCAGGCAGCTGCCTCGGGGACCCAGTTTTCCTCTCCCGGGGGTGGAGGCTGCCGGCCGGCCTCCCCACCCACCCCTGCACTGCCTTACAGGTCTCCTTCCGCTACCATTGCCAGCTGTACTCCGAGTGGAGAAGAACCAACCAGAAGGTGCGCCTGAAGGTCCAGGACGTGGAGGGCTCTGAGGGTGCCCAGCCCCCGCTGCTGGCAGCCGGACTCCTGAAGAAGGTGGCAGAGGAGACGCCCGTGTGAAGGCCAGGCTGGCGGGGCCAGGGGCAGCTGGCGATACCCTGGCGTTGGGAAGGACGGAAACTGCCCGACTCTTTCTGCACGGCCAGAATGCTTTTTAGGCCAAGAGACACCAAGCGGAGCTGACTCTGTGATCCCGTGTGAAGACACTCACTGATTGTTTTGCACACCGTTATACCCGAGGAGGCGGACGTGGTCCTGAACTTCCGATGGAGCAGGCACCCTGATCTCTTCCCGAGGTCCACTCGGTCCCTTCGGGGCCAGTAGCCCTGGTGAGTTGAGGGTGTCCATCAGGCCGGGAGGTTCCACAAGCTTCTTGCGCTTCTCCGCACCTGGCAGGCTCGCTTTCCCGGCACCCTCGACTTCATCAAGTTGCACCGCGTTTCAAAAACCCACCCCGAATGAATAAAAGCAGGCCTTGCTGGACAAAATGGACTTGTCAGTTACGTTTCTGAACCGAGGCCTCAAAGTGAGGCACCCGGGACACGAGGGGAGTCAGGGACCACACCGAGGTAAAGAATAAAAAATGAAAAGAAAGGCCCTCTGCTGGTTTTGAGGGATCTGTTATGAAACGCACCGCAAGAAGCAAAGTCTGAGTTTTCAGGTGAAGAGCAGGTAGCGGGATTATATAATAAATGATTTACAATCACTATACGTAAGTTTCCACTTCCTTTGCATCTCCCATGGGCCAGCCGCCACGCTGGTATACTTACTAATGACTAATGCCCACACTTCTGGAGGGTTCCCCATCTCTGAGCCTGCACGGGCACCCTCCCTCTGACTCTCACTACCATCATCGGTGGGAGGAATAGCTAGCACCTCCATTCTAAGGGTGACAAGACAGGGGCCCAGAGCAGAGAAGCCTCTGTCTGAGGCCCCACAGCTCTAGAAAGTGGAGTTGGGTTGCCCTCAGGTCCGCATGGCCCCACTGCTGAGCTCTATGCTTCCCCTTCTGTGAGGACTCAGGAAAAGCAGCAGAATATGGTCGTGCTCATAACAGCATCCACCGTTTGAGCACTTTCCGAGCTTTTAACCTTTGAGGGTTCTCTGCATCAGGCCACATTTCATCCTAAGAGGAGCCCCGACAGGTGGGTTCCCGAATTCTCTTAGGAATCTCATTTGCAGATGAGCAAATGGAGGCTGGAGCAGGGGGGTCGCTCCCTCAAGATCGCACCTCCCTGATGGGCCAGCACAGTGTCTGGCATGTTCTATTGATTTTGGCATGAATCCCTGTCTGTTATGTGGCTCACCCACAGAGGAAGAAAAACCCTTTCTGCCCGGGAGTAGAAGGACGAGCGGCAGCCAGCCTGGCCACAGGAGTGGAGGGAACAGCACAGGGTACAGGCCTGGAGGCTAGAGTGTGCGTGGCCTGTGGTGGGGCAGCATGGCAGACGAGGTTGCTGGAGCAGCGTGACGGAGGGGCAGAGGGGTAAGAGAAAGGCAGTTAGAAAGATGCGCGGCACTCTGTGGGCATCTGGCGGTCTGCAGAAACCCAGGGTCTTACCCAAGTGCCTTAGCTCCCCCAGCGCTCAGGGGCCCTTCTGGCCACGGCAGCTCGCCTCTCTACACAGGCCTGGCACCCACCTCTTTCAGGCCAACTTTGGATTGCAGTGCCCCTGGAGATGATGTCAGGAGGCCCCAGGATATGCCATCGTGAAAAGAGCTGTTTCCTTTGCAAATCTCTTCTAATCCTTTCAATTACATCGAGGAGACCGTTGTAGCTTGGGCTAGGCTTTTTTTTTTAAGATTGGCACCTGAGCTAACAACTGTTGCCAATCTTCTTGGTTTTCTTCTGCTCTTCCCCCCCCCCCAACCCCCCCCAGTATATAGTTGTATATTTTTTTAGTTGTGGGTCCTTTTACCTGTGGCATGTGGGAAGCTGCCTCAGCATGGGCTGATGAGCGGTGCCATGTCCCCGCCCAGGATCGGAACCAGCGCTGCTAGGCTGTGTTAAATGACCCTTAACCCGAGCAAAGAGAGAGCAAGCCTCAGGCTCAGCCTTTGGCAGTGTGCGCGACTGAATTTATACTTGAATAGCATCATCCTCCTATTTTTTACAATAAGTTTTCATATATTTACTTTACACATATTTGCATATATTTACATGAGATGTGAGGCACAATTTTAAAACATGCCTTTAAAGGAAAAGGAAAGTGTGAAGGAAAGACTAGTTCAAGAGATAGCAAAACCCAGGATCTGGGCACAGTTGGGTTATGTCAGCCAGCCCGTAGAAGTCCAGCCTGGAAGAGAGTTTGTTTCACAACCAGGGCCTGGCTTGTCCCTGATCTCCTGTCACACCCACTGTGGGAGAAAGGATCAGACAGGTGGCTTCTTGTTCCTCCTGCTTTGCATTGGGACGCCTCCCTGATTCTGAGTCTGCTGTGGCCTCTTCTGCCATCTCTGAGCTCGGCTAGAGGAGGAAGGTAAACTGAGACAGAATGAATCCAGTGGGGCCATGGAGGAAGGGAAGGTTGGTATGGGGGCGGGGGGTGGTTCAGGAGGTGATGTGGGAGGAGGAGGGGCTTGAAGATGGGCAGGAGAAGGGAATTCTGGGAGGCAGGTGAGTTTGGGAAGTATGTGGGAATGGAGCTGGAAAGAGAGGCTGAGCTACCAGGTGGATTTATTCTCTGGTCCTGAAATTCTCAACCCTGGCTCAGAATTGCCAGGCAGAATTAAGCAGCTGGGAGGGTGTGGTAGGTGACATATTCCCCAGAGCCTGATGAAATGTAGTCATTCTGTGAGAGAGGAGGGGGAAAAAACCCTCTTTCCCTTCGTAAGCCTCGAGTTTGGTGGTAGATGGGAACTTCTGCAAGATCCAGTGAAGCATTTCAAAGTTCCAGAGACACCAGGGAGAGGGGCTGCTGCTGGGGAAGGGAGCCTGAGGCCTCTGAATGTGCCCCTGCGCTCTGGCCTCTTCCCGGGCCAAGTGGCTGCCCCAGGCCATAGCCTGTAACAGCCCTGAAATCCAGTTTGGGGACGGAGCCAAGCCCTCAGGCAAAGGCACCCAGCCAGGATCAGGCAGGAAGGAGCCCCGGTTAAGGTTAATGAGATCACCTGGCGTCTAGCTCATTTCTCCCATCACGTTTGGATTCCTGCTTGTTCATTCGCTCAAGAAACATCCGCGAGCACATACGAAGTTCTCAGCCATGCGTTTTGTTTGTTGGTTGATAGGTTCAGCGAGAGATTCAGGCCACGGGATGTGCACCCAGGAGCCCCCAACGTGGTAGGGAGACAGGTCGGACACAGCCCAGATATTCCTGGTGCAGGATGATCCTTGCGTAGAGACAGCATTTTGCACGCCAGCTCTACTGCCTGGCCCGTCCGTGTCCTGCCCTCCTTACCTGGCTGACTCCTTCATATTTTTAGTAAACAGAACTTTCGCTGCCCCTCTTCCCCACCTCTGATTACAGAAAGCTGGGAGTGGCGAAGTCCGGGTGTCCGGGTCGGGTGTGGGGAGATGCCTCCCCTAAGAGGCCTGGGGAACCGGTGGAGCATCGCGAAAGCGCCCAACCTGAATTTGCTGCGGGAATGAATGGATCCCAGCGGCCGGTCTGCGCCTGCGCGCGGCGGGGGCGTGGCCCGGAGCAGGGGCGTGGCCCGGGGCGGGCGGGGACGAGGCGGGAGCGGGCCGCGGCGCGCGCAGGCGTTACTGGTCGCGCCGGGTCACGTGAGCGCGCAGGCGCAGCGCCGCGCAGCCGGCTCCCTCACACAAAGCCCAGACGCGGAGAAAATGGCGGCAGGGGTCGAAGCGGCGGCCGAGGTGGCGGCGACAGAGCCCAAAATGGAGGAGGAGAGCGGCGCGCCCGGCGTGCCGAGCGGCAACGGGGCTCCGGGCCCGAAGGGGTGAGTAGCCCGCGGCTCCGCGTCCCGGGCCGGGCGCCTTCGCGGCGGCCCCGTTAGGTCTGTTGGCGGCCTCCCACCGGCGCGGCCTCGGCCGGGGCCTTTCCCGCGGGGCCTGCCCGCGGCGGTGGCGGCCGCGGCCGCCAGGGGTGACGCCGGGCGGCCCGGCGGCGCCGCTCTCTCCTCCCGGGGCTCGGGCTCAGGTCCCCGGGGCCCTCCGGGCCGGGCCGACCCCACGCCGAGGCCTCGGGCCCTGCCTGTGCGCTCGCGGATGATGGCGCGGGCCTGGTGCCGGAGGGACCCCGCGGTCGCGGCCTGCCCGCCTGTCGGGTGACCTTGGGCGCGTGGCTTTACCTCCCCGCGCCCCCCAATATCGCCTGGGGGCTCAGTTTCCCGCTCCGGCTACTGGGGGGGCAGGGAAGGGAAGCGAGCGCGCGCGTGGGGGGCTTCGCGCGTGGTCGGCCCGGTAAACGGTGGCGGAGGCGCGTGGGAACCGGGAAGGACCGCGAGGCCTCTCGGGGCGCCCCCGCGTCCCCTCCCCCGCCCCGGGCCCCCGGCGCCCGCCTCCTCCCAGGTGCGCGGGAGGCGTTGGTGCGGCGATCGGCCCTGCGCAGCCAACAAAGAGCAGGAAAGAAAAAAAGGCGAGAAACGTCCTCTTCCGTGTTCCCGGGGGAGAGCCTACATCCTCGCGCGGGCTCACCCGCTCCCGGGCTCCGTCACCTCTGCGAGGCCCGCCTGGGGCTCCCACTCGGGCCCTTGGCTGTTCAAAGTTTTCTCCAAGCCTTAGAGCCTCGTCTGCGCCCCCGCGAGACCCGCTCGTCGTGCTGACAGTCACCTGGAGGGGAGACGCGGGGAGACGTGTCGGCCCGACCGGCGCCCGTGGGGGGAGGCGGGGGGAAGGCTGGGCGCACGTGACTTCCCACCAGTTTTCTTTTCTTTTTTTTTTTTTAAATTGTGGTAACGTGTGCGTAACGTGAAATTGGCATTTTGGGCCGTTTTAAGGGGACGGTTCAGCGGCATCGGGTGCACTGTGTTTTTTGTTGTGGCCGTCGCCGCTGTCCCACGTCCAGAACTTTTCCGTCACCCCGAGCACACGAGCCGTGAAACAGTGACTCCCCATTTCCCCCCCCCCCGCCCGTCCCCAGCTCCTGGAAACTTCTGTTACACGTTGTGTCTCTTAGGGTTTCGCCTTCCCGCAAATGTCTAGTGCGCGGAACCGGAGTTCGTGGAGATTGGAAGTGAATGTGGTTAAAGCGCGTTGTGTCACCGAGCGCTCGGCGGATGACGGGCGGTGCTGGTAAACCCTCTCCCCGTCGGTGGGGAGGCGCAGAGTGCCGTGGTTGCTGGTCCTCGGAGGGCAAGAGAATGGCAGCCTGGAAGGGTGCCCAGCACTTTCCTGTCGAAAACTCTGCAAGGGGATGTGTTCGTTTAGACTTTTTCCGTCGTCTGTCTAGGGGAGCCCAGGAGGATTTGACGGCCATTTTTGGAGGTCTTTTTTCTTTTTTTTTAGGAAGATCAGCCCTGAGCTAACATCTGCTGCCAATCCTCCTCTTTTTGCTGAGGAAGACTGGCCCTGAGCTGACATCTGTGCCCATCTTTCTCTACTTTATATGTGAGACGCCTACCACAGCATGGCGTGCCAAGCGGTGCCATGTCCGCACCCGGGATCCGACCCGGTGAACCCCGCGCTGCTGAAGCAGAACGTGCAAATTTAACCACTGTGCCGCCAGGCCGGCCCCAAAGGAGGCCTTTAAGATGCATTTATTTCCCGTGTTTTTCTTTCAAAGCAGTTATCTCAGGAGGGACTGCTGCTAGAACCGTGCTAGGGGAGAAGGCGAATTAGTTATGGGTTATAGCATCTGGGGTACATATTTCAAATTTCCTGTTTTCCACTGTCCGTTTTCAAATAGTCATTTTGTGACAGATTCACTTGACAAACGCAACACATAGACCATTAGAAAGCCTGAAGGTTTTAGAGAGAAAATAGCCCTTGTTGGAAAGAACCTCAGAGTCTAGGGCTGCTTAATAGAGGATATTTCAGGGAACTAGCAACACTTAGCTGTATTTCATAGGGCCAGTGGAAAACTGTGTGGGTTTTTTGTTTTTTGTTTTTTTTTGGCTTATGAATCTCTTTAGAATAAAGCCCATGCCCAGAGGAGAGGCGAGTTAATATTTTCGTAGTAATGTAATTATGCTGTGATTGAAGTAAGGGAGTTACCTGGTAGGGGGCAGGGAGGGGCTCCCCTCCCCCCAGCCGAACCCCTGGGGCTGGGAGGTGTTCCGGAGGAGGAGGAGGAAAGAGGGTGACTGGGGAGAGGCAAAGAGGAGAGGGGCCAAAGGCTGGGGACTTGGGGATATGCTTTGCATATTTATAGAGAGCTGAGGCCACTGTAGCATTTAATGCTGGAACACTGGGGGCCTGCTGGTGGGCGAGGAATTGCAGGCTGAGGAATTTAGATCTTTATCTTGAAAGCCCTGGAGGGATGGAGAGTGAGTGAAACTTGGTTCTTCTGACCTTTGTGTCCAGCAGGAGTGGAGTGTGTGCTGTAAGCAGAAAAGGCAGGGAGCTGGCAGCCTTGAGGGCAGTTACTTTTCTCCGGGGTGTGAGAGCAGGAAATTTTATTTATTTATTTATTTTTTTGAGGAAGATTAGCCCTGAGCTAACATCAAGCCCATCTTCCTGTACTTTATATGTGCGAGGCCTGCTGCAGCGTGGCTTGAGAAGCAGCGCGTAGGTCCATGGCCGAGAACTGAACCTGCGAACCCGGGCTGCTGAAGCGGAACATGTGAACTTAACCGCTGTGCCACCGGCCGGCCCCAGGATTTGCTTTCTTTTGATGAGAAATGTATGCCATCTAAAGTCAGTCAGGATTCAGAGTTGGAATATATTTAGTCAGGGAGAAAAAGCATTCATTTTAGAGGAATATATCAGTTTAGGTTTGAGTTTCTTTTTTATTTTTAAATAAAGATTGAACCATATATTTAAAATCAATGACATAACCTGTTCTCCTTCCGTAGTAATGTTATGGCTGAATCAGAAAACTGAGAGATGGATTGGTCATTCAAAAAATAAAACGTTTATGTTTAGTGTAGATTGCCCGGGAGGTAATGTTAATGTCAACTTTGTTTTGTAACTGAGAAATGTTTTTCTTAAGCTGTTGAGAAAACTCAGGTTCAGGAAATGGACCCAGAGTCTGGGGGAGGCCGTGTTGACTCCAGGGCCTTAGCTGCTTCCAGGATGCTGCCCTGGTAACCTCTCACTAAACACAGTCACTTGAAGTGTTTTATTTAAACCAGATTCTCTGCGTTGCAGTGATTTGAGTGTTTGCTGTACTTTACAAAGTGATTGTGTCCTTGGCAGAAGGCATTTTTGAAGCAGGTTAGGTTGTGAGCCCAGATTAGAGTGGGGCCTCTGGGTTGATCAAATGCGTGCTGCCAGCTCTTTGCTTTCCCTTTGCTCTTTGATTTTATTCATGGCCAGGCAGAGACACTAGTCTACAAAGAGGAGTGAGCTTGTTTCTCTCCGGGACTCTCACATGCGCTTTCCCGCTTTCCCGGGACCATATTTTGCAGTGGTGAGGTTGAAAGCTGAGCTGCTCCTTTGGTGGTCTGTAATGAGTACCACGCCTGGGCCGCCTCAGCCAGTGGGCTTGTTTTAAAGCCTCATCAGCATATGCCACAGTGGAAGGCCAGGATTGAATCAGGCTCCCTCCCTATCCCCTCAAGAAAATTATTGGTACACAAATAGGCCGTCGGCTCAGTGACTGTGTGCCAGGTCTCTCTTTAGACCCGTCAGCGTGGATAGTAACCTTTTACAGGTGGAGGAACGGAGGCCTAGCAGAGAGATGGTGACGCTGGGGCTCGGACCGAGATATGGGCCCTAGTCACCTGTAGTACTGCTCCCTGAGATACCGTGCTGAGCGTTTACCAGCTGCTCTTTGTTAGGCTGTTGGTTCTCGCAGCATCCCTGTCAGCTACCATGGAAATAGGTTAGTTATGCTGGTTTTGCTGGTGAAGAACCAGAGCGGTGAAGAGCTTGAGTCACGTGGGTAGTTAAGTGGTAGACGGGCAGCTAGAAGAGTGCTATGAATAGTGCTCTCCACATCTTAAATGCATTAGAGGAGCTCAGGGTTGAAAGGATTTCTGTGCAGAATCATTTTACATAAGGGAAGGTTCTCAGGGGGCTTTGGGGAGGGGGCACTTCCTTCAGGAGATGTGGTCAGGATCTCAGGGCATCGGGCTTGCCATTTTAAGCTACACTCCTGAGTGACAAACTGAGAGTCGTGAGAGTGCTGTATGTGGGAATGCCGTGGAGGCCTAAGAGGGTGGGGATTCAGGGATTCACACAGGCACGTAGCAGTTCTTTGTGGAGTGGGCACTCGGGCTTTTTTTTTTTTTTTTTTATCTTTATGTACAGTATAATTCTAGGATGGTGGAGCAGTAACATGATAAATTACCAGTTTTCAAAGAATGCTGTCAGACAATTCCAAAGCCATATTAAACATAATTAATCTTGTTTTAATGACTTGGAAGGTACTTAAGGTATATTAGGCTTGTTTTTATTGATAT